CTCCTCCTCCTCCTCCTCCTCTTCTTCTCAAGGACAGTTTCACACAGAGGGCATTGCAGTAATTCAATCTGATTCAGAGCATGGATTACAAGGGACACCTCGTCACAGTCCCAAAGGGACAGAGATGGCAAACTAGCCCAGAGCTGGAAATGGGCACTGCTAGTCCCTGAGGCCACCTGAGCCTCAAGTGACCCTGCTGGATTCAGGAGTACCCCCAGGCATATATGGCTGTGTGTGGGTTAAGCTTTGTCATCATCATCATCATCATCATCATCATCATCATCATATTAATCCACCCTTCACCTTCAGTTCCCAGGGCAGATTACAACATTAAAAACCACATTAAAACCGTTTAAAACAACTTACGATCTCAGAAATAAGATGAGTCTTTCTTTACTTGCTTTTTAGCGCTGTCCCTTGGCTCCACCCCCACGTGCTTTGAACTTACCCCCGTCATCCTCAGGGGGTTGGCCAGGTAAGTATCTGGCCCTCAGAACAAAAAAGGGAAGACCCCACACCAGTAGTATGTTTTGAGAACATTGGAGATTCCAAGTGCTAGAAAATGAGACAGAAACAGGAAAGGATTGTGTGTTTAGGGGGAGGACAGGACGGGGAGCAGCTTTTGAGGGCCCCAGGTTTAGGACCCCCACCACAGCCTAGTGTCCACAATGCATTTGGTACTCACTCGTCAGTCGCAGTTCTGACTTCATGCATTGACTGAAAGGCAGGAACAAGCGGGGTATCATCTCCACAGAAGAATGCCTCAGTTGTCTGCACATTAGTATGGCAACATTACTTAAGGAGGGCTAAAGTCTTCCTTTTTCTTTTAGAAGAAGCTCAAGAGTCTGTGCTGTGGTGCAGTCCAACCTGGTTCCTAGTAAGACTCATCCACGCTTACTCAGGAACATTTTCTTCTCCTGACAGTATACCAATTTTATAACAGAACAATGCGCTTGTTTTGTAGGACTTGCTAGTGCTTCTAATTGGGGACAGACAGAACTTGGCAGAAGAAAAAGGGATCTCCGCGAGGCTTCATGAGAGCACAAATGGATGAGCAAGAACTCAGCTGACCCTGAAGCAGAAGAGGCATGCTATCAAAACTGGGAGCAGTGGGAGTTTCTGGGGAAACTCGCTGCAGAAGGTCCTGGGTGAGGAGGACACCTCTGCTCAGAGGTGCAGAAGCCAGCAGTTCAGGCAGCTCTGTTCCCTGGAGACTGAAGGACCCCGAGAAGTTTGCAACCAAATTTTAACCGTCTTGATGGTCAGTGGCTGAAGCCCGAAAGCATACAAAAGTTCAGATGCTGGACCTGGTGATCATGGAGCAGTTCCTGGCTGTCCTTCCACTAGAGATGGAGTGCTGGGTGAGGAATGTGGAGCAGAGACCAGTTCCCAGCAGTAGCCCTGGCTGAGGTTTTCTCCTGAGTCAGCAGAGGAGAGGAAGCAGGCAGAGCAGCAGGTGAAGAGAGACTTTCCTCTGGATGCTCCTAAGGGGCTCCAAACATGAGGGAGAGCATCCCTAAATCCATCCTTTTTTGAGAAGCATCCAAGAAAATGCCTCTGCCATTCCTTTTCCCAATCTCAACTTCCTGTTTAAATCCTTGTTGCTCTTTCAAGGGAAAGGAACTGTTTCAGACAAGGGCTTGGATTCCTCAGAGAGGACTCTGTGGGAAACCAGAGAGAGGCTGTTGGGTAAGGACTGATGAGTTCTTTCTACATTTTGGCACATGCTATTGATTTTGAAACTAATATAATGGGTTCTTTGAATTCTTTTGAGGAAGACATTTGGGCCCAACATGGAGTCTACACACACATAAAAACTGTTCTGAAAATGCTTTTTAAAAAATACATTGACTTTTCCATAAGGCTCACCACCGTCATTTAGTGTCACATTGCATATTGCACTGAAAACACACTTAAAGCCTTTATTTGTGGCTGTGTACCTGAGTCCCAAGAACCCCAAGGAGTGGAGATCCATTTTTGTAGCATGAAAATGTGAAATGAGTACAAACATCCAAATGCACTCAGCAGGCAAGACTTTACGTAAGGCCCACCTGAAGTTAGAGTCGTGCTGCTTGATCTCTGAGAGAAGCATGCACCTGTGTCTTCCTACTTGCCTTCTTACTTACAGGTGACCAAATGATGCCATCAAGACATGCTCCTCCATCTTTTCATGGTGCTGGAGGGGAAGCAGCGGCTGTGGAACCAGATCAAGTAGGAGGAAGAAGCCTTGTGGGGAAAGAGGCTGAGGGGTGGGGCTGCCTGGGTGCCTCCGGGCCCAAATGAATCTCTCCCCCTCCTCCTGCTGCTGTGAAACTGCCTTAACAAAGTCTGAACATGCATTCCAGAAGATTTGTGTGGCTGTGAATAATCAACAGCCACCTCTCCTTAAACTAGGTTTCCGAGTGTTGCTAGTATTATTTACCGGTATTTTTCACTCCATAGGGTGCACTGGACCATAAGGCGCACCTAGTTTTTAGGAGGGGAAAAAAAATCTTATTCCCCACCCAGCCCCAAAGAGCAGCGGACAGGCTTCTGGAGCTGTCAGGTGAAGCCCGGGTTCGCTGTCTTGGCTTCGTTTTTAGCCGTGCGCAACCTCTCCTGGCTGGAGAGGTTGCGTGCTGCCTTGGCTTTGTTTTTAGCCACGGGGCTGGGGCAGGGGAAGCCCGAGCTTCCCCCGACCCCAGCCCCCAGAACAGGTCGGGGAGCGGCGGCAAGGTTGCACGGCAGCCTTGCCTCCGCTCCCAGAGCTTGGGGGCTGGTGGGGGAAGCCCGGGTTCCCGCCCCCAGCCCCAGGGACCACACATTCGCTCCATAAGACGCACAGACATTTCCCCTTAGTTTTTAAGAGGAAAAAAGTGCATCTTATGGAGTGAAAAATACGGTATGTTGTTGCACTTTTATTTATATATTTATTGTTGAATGCTAAGACAGGCTTCTAAGCAGTGGCCAGGAGTCCTCTAGCCAGCCACATCAGTTGCACAATGGGGCTCAGCTCCCTTTCCTCCCACTCCTTGTGCCCCCATGCACCCCTTGCAGTTGGCTTTAGGGCATTGGGAGCCCCCCCCCGCCGCCAAGAACAGCGCATTGGGGAGTGGAGTGGGGATCTTTCCATCTGGCAAGCTGGAATGCTTGCACAGAGAGAAGGATTTGAAGTTCCACCCTATTACACAAAATTAATACCCATCATTAAAATAGACAACAAAAAATCCATTAAAATGTTAAACAAGCTCACATAATTGAAATGTGCAGCAAACCCATCCAATTAAAACAACACAGCAATTCACAGGCAGAAAATAGCAGAGCAGTGTACAGTTTATATTCTTCATGCTGTCTAAGAGGACAACCTTTTTTCTTTTAGGGTCCAGTGTGCTTTGAAGATGTTGCTGTTCATTTCACAGATGAGGAATGGGTGTTGCTGGATCCTGACCAGAGAGCTCTGCATAAGGAAGTCATGGAGGAGAATCGTGAGGTCATGGACTCTCTCAGTAAGACTCCCTCTTGCTTCATAATTTCTGTTTTGATATTGAGTATTGTGACAAACCTCCAGTAATTGGATGGAGCTCAACAGCACCATCTACAGCATCAAGGATTCTAACTCCCCAATGGAGGACTATCAACTGTTTTGTCTGTGCATATTCTCCCTCCAGTTAGGCTTCAGAGCTGTTAGGAAAGTTGAAACAGCTTCTGTCAGGGTTTTTGGTTGACTCAAGAGAAAACTAACATTGGAGATGGAGAAGAATCCATGATTGGGCAAAGCAAAATCCATCCCAGAAAAGAGTCAGGCTTTATTGACCTCAGGTTCCTATAAATATGTCAGTTAATACAAAGACACTGAACCTTGTAGTAAGACCTGGGTGTTCATCAGTATGCATATAATATCCAGCTCTACCTCTCTTTCAAATCAGAACCTCGGTCCAGTATACCTGAAGGAGTGTTTCCACCCCCATCGTTCTGCCTGGACACTGAGGTCCAGTGCAGAGGGCCTTCTGGCGGTTCCTTCACTGCGAGAAGCCAAGTTACAGAGAATCAGGCAGAGGGCCTTCTCGGTAGTGGCACCTGCCCTGTGGAACGCCCTCCCACCAGTTGTCAAAGAGAAAAACAAGTACCAGACTTTTAGAAGACATCTGAAGGCACCCCTGTTTAGGAAAGCTTTTAATGTTAGACAGATTATTGTATTTTAATATTTTGTTGGAAGCTGTCCAGGGTGGCTGGTGAAACCCAACTAGATGGGCAGGGTATTATTATTATTAATAATACTAATTATTATCAATAAATGAATGAATAATAAATAAATAATTGTCTAACTCCCTTCTCTTTTCTCTCTCTCACAAGCATTGATTATCATTGTTCAATAATCTGGGGCTCAGTTTCTTCCTAAGGCTCTAATCCATTTCTCTTATTGTCACAGGTGCTGATGAATTGGAAATTAAGAACAAGAGAGACCACTGCAAAATCCACACAGTGGAGAAGCCATATAACTACATGGTGTGTGGAGAAAGCTTCAGTCAGAGCTTCTATTCCTCTTCCCATCAAAAAAATCCCATTGAGAAGAAACTCTGTCAGTGCTTGAAATGTGGAAACAGCTTCAATTCCAAGAGGAGTCTCACTTCCCATCAAAAAACTCATAGCAGGAAAAATCATATCAGTGCTTGGAATGTGGAAAAAGCTTCAGTCAAAGCTCCTATCTCATTTCCCATCAAAGAACTCACAGCGGGGAGAGACCATATCATTGCTTGGAATGTGGAAAGAGCTTCACCTGGAAGGCAAGTCTCACTTCCCATCAAATAATTCATACAGGGGAGAAACCATATCAGTGCTTGGAATGTGGAAAGCGCTTTAGTCGGAACTTCCATCTCACTTCCCATCAAAGAACTCACAGTGGTGAGAAACCGTATCAGTGCATTGAATGTGGAAAGAGCTTCAGTCAGAAGGGCCCACTCACTTCCCATCAAAGAACTCACAGTGGGGAGAATCCCTATCAGTGCTTTGAATGTGGAAAGAGTTTCACCTGCAAGGAAAGCCTCATTTCCCACCAAAGAATTCATACAGGGGAGAAACCATATCAATGCTTAGAATGTGGAAAGAGCTTCACTTGGAAGGTAAATCTTACTTCCCATCAAAGAATTCATACAGGGGAGAAACCGTATCAGTGTTTGGAATGTGGAAAGAGATTCACCCAGAAGGAAGGTCTCACTTCCCATCAAAGAATTCATACTGGGAAGAAACCATATCAGTGCTTAGAATGTGGCGAGAGCTTCGCCTGGAAAGTAAGTCTCACTTCCCATCAAATAATTCATACAGGGGAAAAACCATATCAATGTTTGGAATGTGGAAAGAGCTTCAGTCGGAACTCCCATCTCACATCACATGGAAGAATTCACAGAGGCGAAGAGCCATATCAGTGCTTGGAATGTGGAAAGAGCTTCATTCGGAAGGATAATCTCACTTCCCATCAAAGAATTCACAGCGGAGAGAAACCCTATCAGTGCTTGGTATGTGGAAAGAGCTTTAGTCGGAAAGAAAGTGTCACTTCCCATCAAAGAATTCATACAGGGGAGAAACCATATCAGTGTTTGGAATGTGAAAAGAGCTTCAATCAGAACACCCATCTCATTTCCCATCAAAGAATTCATACGGGGGAGAAACCATATCAGTGCTTGGAATGTGGAAAGAGCTTCAGTAAGAGGGCGCATCTCACGGCCCATCAAAGAATTCACACTGGGGAGAAACCATATCAGTGTGTTGAATGTGGAAACAGCTTCAATTCCAAGGGGACTCTCACTTCCCATCAAAGAATTCATACAGGGGAGAAACCATATCAGTGCTTGGAATGTGGAAAGAGATTCAACCAAAAGGAAAATCTCACTTCCCATCAAAGAATTCATACAGGGGAAAAACCGTATCAGTGTTTGGAATGTGGAAAGAGATTCAGTCGAAATTCCCATCGCACTTCCCATCAAAAAACTCACAGCAGGGAGAAACCATATCAGTGCTTGGAATGTGGAAAGAGATTCACCTGGAAAGGAAGTCTCACTTCACATGAAAGAATTCATACAGGGGTGAAACCATTAAAATGCTTGTGATGTGGAAACAACTTCAATTCCAAGGGGAATCCCGTGGTCCATCGAAGAATTCATACAGGGGAGAAACCATATCAGTGCTTGGAATGTGGAAAGAACTTCAGTAAGAGCACCAAGCTCACGTCCCATTAAATAATTCACCGTGGGGAGAATCATAGAATTGTAGCATTGGAAGGGACCCTAAGGTTAATCTCTTGTCTTTGTCCATGGAGTTTTCCTGGCAGGCATACTGGAGTGGATCACGTTTGGTCAAAACTCTCCACTATGACCTGTCCATCTTGGGTGGCCCTGCACGGCATAGCTCATAGCTTCTCCGAGTTATTCAAGCCCCTTCGCCACGGCAAGGCAGTGATCCATGAAGTGAGTGAGGAGGAATTAAAGAACCTTTTAATGAGGGTGAAAGAGGAGAGCGCAAAATATGGTCTGAAGCTCAAGATCAAAAAAACAAAGATCATGGCCACTGGTCCCATCACCTCCTGGCAAATAGAAGGGGAAGAAATGGAGGCAGTGAGAGATTTTACTTTCTTGGGCTCCATGATCACTGCAGATGGTGACAGTAGTCACGAAATTAAAAGACGCCTGCTCCTTGGGAGAAAGGCGATGGCAAACCTAGACAGCATCTTAAAAAGCAGAGACATCACCTTGCCAGCAAAGGTCCGTATAGTTAAAGCCATGGTTTTCCCAGTAGTGATGTATGGAAGTGAGAGCTGGACCATCAAGAAGGCTGATCGCCGAAGAATTGATGCTTTTGAATTATGGTGGTGGAGGAGACTCTTGAGAGTCCCATGGACTGCAAGATCAAACCTCTCCATTCTGAAGGAAATCAGCCCTGAGTGCTCACTGGAAGGACAGATCGTGAAGCTGAGGCTCCAATACTTTGGCCACCTCAGGAGAAGAGAAGACTCCCTGGAAAAGACCCTGATGTTGGGAAAGATTGAGGGCGCAAGAAGAAGGGGGCGACAGAGGATGAGATGGTTGGACAGTGTTCTCGAAGCTACAAACATGAGTCTGACCAAACTGCAGGAGGCAGTGGAAGACAGGAGTGCCTGGCGTGCTCTCCATGGGGTCACGAAGAGTCGGACACGATTAAACGACTAAACAACAACAAGGTTAATCTAGTTCAACCTCCTGCAATGTAAGAATCTCGGCTGAAGCATCCATGACATGACCATCCAGCCTCTGCTTAAAATCCTCCAATGAAGGAGCACCCCCCGCCCTCTGAGGGAGTTCATTTCACTGTTTAACAGCTTCCACCACCAGAAAGCTCTTCCTTGAGCTATTTCCACCATCTCAGCCTCCTCTTTTCGAGGCTAAACACAGCCAGTTCCCTAAACCATTCCTCACAAGGCTTGTTTTCCAGACCCTTGATCATCTTAACCACCCTCCTCTACACATAACTGGACCCCGTATTCCAGGTGTCATCTGTCCAAGGACTAGTCTGACCTTGAACTGGACACTATACTTCAGTTGATGCAGACATTAGCCTTTTTGACTGCAGCGTCACACTGCTGACTCGTGTCAAGCCAAGTATTACCCATTGTATATATGTTCAGCTGATTATTCCTGTGTTAGTGCAGAACCTTACATTTGTCCTTATTAAAATTCATTTATTGCCTTTTTATACCACCTTTTCCTCCAAGGAGTATTAAAGGTCACAGTCCATCACACTTTTGCTGCATGAGTATACTCATGTGTAGGCACCTTGTTAGCAGCTTTCAGTCTTTCTGCTGAGTTTCTGGAAGCAGTCGTCAGCAGTTGAAGCTACACTTTGAGAAGAAACATTCACAGACACCGTAAAACTCAGTCACGTGTTTTATTGCTTGACTGGTCATAAATGCTTCACGGTAACACTATTTACAATCATTATAGCAAGAGCTGTAACGTCATACTAAGTCTCACTCTTTTTAGCAGCGAGATGCAGGCGGACACAGTCTATAGGCAGTCATGACACTACAGTTTGTAGGCAGCATTTGTTGGTCGGTTGTTTGCAAAAGGAAAAAACAAAAGTTCTGCTTTTATCAGCACTTGCAGCTGAAGCTGCGCATGCTCAGAGTGCCAATCCCACTTATATACGACTGTTCTGGAATCTTTTCACTGTTTCTGGATGAATGCCCCCCCCCCAGTCATATATAAATAGAAGGTATAATGGCTCGGGCTCAGGTTCAGGCACGAGTGGGCTTGGCGCAGTGGTGGCAGACGGAGGGGGTGGAGGCGAGCTTGCAATCACCTAAAAAAAGCTCACTGCCGGTGATGTTTAAATATACAATACTAAAAATACCAGTGTTTTGAATATTTAGGAAAATATCAAAGTTATGTTTGATGTTTAAAATTTTGATTTCTTAATTTGGGGTTCACCATCCGTGTATAAGACAAACCTCAATTTTTGAGTAAGTTTTTTAAAGCAAAAAACATTGACTAACACATGGAAAAAGATGGTAACTACAAATGATGGTTTCCTTTGCAAAGTGAACAGTTGCAATTATATCTTTGCACTGTCAACAGTTCACATTTGAAAGCAAGACCAGACTAGAGCGTAGTTCAATCGCGGACTGTGGGTTGGGGGGAGGGGTGTCGTCGTTAATCCAGGAGAATTGCTCTTTCAGGGTTCTGCCAGAGCCACAGATCTCCGGCATTGAATGTGTTGGCCTGGTGTGGGGCACCAAGGAGAGCCTGGCTGGCTGGCGGGTGTATCAACCACCTAGACCACTGACAGCCACCCTGTCAGGCCTGCTGGAGGTGGTGGCAGGCTGGGCCTTGGAGTTCCCTAACCTATTGGTTTTGGGGGACTTCAGCGCCCATGCTGACACTGCCCCTTCCTCATGGGCTCTGAACTTGGTGTCTTCCACGGCCTCACTTCGTTCAGGAGCTGACAGAGGCTGGGAATCAAAGCAGGAAAAGAGAGATAAGGACACTGGAATGTGAGAGGGAGGAGGGGCAGCCCAGTGGCATAGCTTCAGAAAGCAGAGAGCAGGCAGCAGATAGCAAAGATCCAAATACCAACCTTAGCTCAGAGACAGAAGGGGAGAGGCTGGGAATAGATAGCCCAAAAACTCGAAGGTGCGAAGAGGTCAGTGAGAGGAGGGGGAAAGAGCGGAAGCGAAAGGGTTTTCCCCCCTGTTGGAAGAAGAAGAAGGGCGGAGTTTAGACTCGGCAACTGCAAACTTGGAGTCAGACACAGAGTGAAGGAGCTCTGGAGTGATTTATGTGTTTGAGCAATAAACCTGAGATAATTACTGCCGGTGTCTCGCTTCTGTGGGAGAGCCAAGCCATTACACTAGGGCTCTCCCAGTTTGTTTTGGCAACACATGTCAAGCAGGCAACACACTGGATTTGATTTTTGGCACAGGTATAGATTAGGGTTAGGGGCAGGGTTAGAGTTATGGATAGGGGGTTAGGGTTTAGGGTGAGGGTAGGAGTTAGGGTTAAGGGTTAGGTTAGGTTAAAGGTTAGGTTAGGGTAAGGGTTGGGTTAGGGTAGGGGGTTTAGGGTTAGAGCAGGGTTAGGATTGGGTTAGGGTTAGAGCACCGGGTTAGGGTGCCCTCCACCAGAGGGGTCATGGCTGAGTCAAGGTAGCAGAATCGTATGATTTGCTGCCTCACTCAGATTCTGGCGCACCTCTCCCTTCTGTTACCCCGTTTATTATAGAAACAGGCCACCGACTGGACTGGAAAGTATGCTTAAAACATATAGTTTACTCACAGTCAAGCACCTGTCCTTAGCAACAACAGCAGTAAAAATAAATGCAGGTAAAATACTTGTATTTACAGTGAAAGCAGCCTCAGGCATGAGCCTGATGCTGGAGCAAGCAGATACAAGTCTTCTCCCATCGGCTGGTTGGAGAGAGAGAGAGAGAGAGAGAGAAGGAACAGAAAATACTTTTTTCCTTCTTCCCTACCAAGAGAGGAGGGGAAATGAAATAACACAGAGCTTTCTCTACCAATTGCATTGATCTGAGTCCACCTAACAGCAATACTGCTCTGTGATTTTAATCTCCACACTTGCTTACTAGTAAGAATATGCATTTTTAGATTTGATTTCTAAACTCCCACAATATTTACTCCATGGAGCAGTTTCGTTAGCATCCCAGCCTTCCACGGCCTTCCATGGCCTAACACAGTCAAAGCTCCATGAAAGAACCTACCACACCAGCACCCACCTAGAGCTGGCTCTGAAGTCTGCCTGTTTGTGAAGTGAGGCACTTGGGGTGCTCAGAGGCCCGACCCCTCCAATGGATGTAAGTTGCAGAGCTGCTGATTTCCATACCCCCTAAGGTACCCATTTCACACACCCCTCTGCGACGTCACTGTTTCTGCCAAGAAAGTGCCTGGTAGGTTGAGGCACAACCTCTTCAGTTCTTTGCTCTTCGTCAAAACTGGCTATCAGTTGTCCTTAAGGAAGCCATCCAACAGTCCCTTGCCTGAGCTAGGCCAAGCCCCCTTGCCCACCTCACCAGCTTCTTACAGACATCTCAGTTCTGTTTTCCCATCATTGCCAACCACAGAGATGCCAACTGAGAGTGCCCACAAATGGCAAGTTTAGTTGAGTGTGCTCATACGCTATGTCACTGCACTGAATGGTGCCCAAAGCAGCCTGAAACAAAGACCAACTGATCCTTGGAGGTTGCTAGTGCTGCTGAAAGCTCTTAACTCTGCCCCTTGATAAAAACAGGGTTATGACAGGAGGGATGCATTCCATTGTCTCTGCAGGCAAGGGCAGAGGAAGCGGGTGCGGTGGGTGGGTGCCACCCTGGGTGTCACCACTGAGGAGGGTGACAAAATGCTGGGAGGCACTCCCCACAGGGCCTGCAGCATGCCCAAGCCACCAGTGGTCAGGACCTCATTAGCAGGACCAATGGTCAGGGATGATGGGCCTTGTACTCCCACAACATTG